CTTCCCTCGGTCCCTGCAGGGACATGTGTTCTGAGCAGTGCAACCAAATTAGACGAACAACTTGTCCATCTTTGAGACAAACTCAAAAGCGGAGTTGTGACCCTGTGTCCCAGGCAGAAAGTGAAGACAAGAACCTGTCTGGAGTTGATTCAAATGCAGCTTTCAGTGCTTGTATCCTCTAATGCCACTCGTAAAGAGACGAGAACAAACTTTGAGGACATCTTTAAATATTCATTGAGGAAATGACTGTGCTTTTTTTTTTTTGCTTTTTTTTTTACCTGCATAAACTTTTACTGGAAGAGTGTAATTTCAGCACCACTAGTGACACCAAACAAAATGGCAAAAATAATGAATATAAGTATGAGATGATAAGTATAATAAAGAATGATAAAAAAAAGATTTTTCTGAATTTTGGCTGTCAGTCTCTGTTTTTCCATACAAAGAAAGTGTCTATCATTATAAAGTACATTTAAATCATTGTTTTAATGATATTTTATCACACTTTAAAGAACGCCTATTTTAATACATTACGTGCATTAGCATCTTAGCTGTAGTGTGATATTAATTTTATTATATATATATATATATATATATATATATATATATATATATATATATATATATATATATATTAAATGTACCAAATTGCAACTATATGTGTGATTACAAAATTATTTCAATACATGACACAAGTTTCAATAGAAATGACATTAAAGTGTATTTCAGTTTACTGTAAATGCTTGTCAGTACATTCAGCAGTACAATAGAAGTAATTATGAAATAACATATGAAGATGTATGTAGGTCCTACTGATCAAAAAACACTTTACTTCAGCAATTTAAAACTATAGGCTAATACATATTAGTTTAAATAAAATTACGGTAATATGCAAGTAAGTGTCTGAAATCATTATATTCAGTTCACACTTAAGTATATTCTTTTAAAGTATATTATTTCCTTAAAAGGTACTCTTTAAAAATGCTAAAGTGTGATCTTTTTTACAAGGATAACATCTTTTCGGAAGAAAGCCATGTGGGCTTGGAACAACAATCTCACATCACCAGTTTAATAACAGGCAATTACAGGTCTTCTCTCGTTGCATAGCAAAAGATAGATGCATAAATGATACATTTGTGATGCTTATTTAGGACAACAGATGTTTCAATAAAATGCGTTATAGTCACAGAAGTTGTCGGTTTAGAACGGTTACTGATTTTAGTTTCAATTTCATGGTATTCAATGGCAAAAAAAATCTTAGCAGCGCATTCTTAGCATTCCAATCATTCTGTGTTTCTGGATATTTCAGCGGGCACAGATGCCAAATACAACAGATGGCGTTCAAACCTCAGCGTGTGTGTGCTTCGAGGTCTGTGACATCAACTGAGAAATATATAAAGCCGCTGAGCTGAAAATATTGGCCTACAGATATGTAGGCCTCGAATTGTTTTTTCAACAATTAGCATATGCATTATTCAAATTAAGTATTCATCTAATCCAAGTCCTCTATAAACACCTCTATTAGCGTACCGCACAACCGTATAAAAAGGTGCTATGGCCAAGAGATGTAAAAGAACATATGGATATTAGTTTTTTTGGACATGTATTCAGAAATATCACATCTTTCTGAAGTACGCCATCTGTCATTTACTGTGTAGTGCATGAAAATCACATCTGCCCTGCAGTTACGCCAGACTCTCACTGATATCTTAAACTGTTTTGGCCTCCAATAGGTCTAACTTGTCACGGAAGAGCAGGTGATGCCAAAGATGATGGTCGAAATTGAGAACTAGTTTGGCCATCTCATTAAAAGAGATTTCATTTCGACGTTGGATGCCAAAATGCAAGTAAATCTTGACAAGCATCAGGTTTCTTGGATAATGTGAGGGTACACATCTTAATCTTTATTCAAACGGGGGAGAAGTGTTTCGATAAAAAGTTTCCTTTTAAATATCATAAATGATTCATTCATAAGTGTCATTGTGTTTTTGAGGAGTTGCACAAAACTACCTGAACTAACTATGTCTTGCGTGTCATAAAAAGGTCAAATTATCTGATTTTAAGAGACTTGTTGACCTTAGGTTTTGTAAATATAACAATTAACTTAAAGATTCATTTCAAACATGTGATTTTAATTCGGGTTTTTTTTTTAGTTTTTTTTATTATGACATCATAATATCATCAATTCCATGTAATAGTACTTTCCATTAGTGAAACTGTAAAATGAAGATGTATATATAAACAGGTTGTGCAAAATTCAATTCCCTAGAAACCAACATTCTGGTGACTTATTTATTTAATCCTTCCATTTTAACCTTCGAGTGTGATTTATGACTGCCATTAATCTTAGCCTGCACATTAATTCCACAGCACGCAGGTTCATCTGACCTGTGCCCTTTCAGATCCCAGCTGTGGTGACTCACTCTGTGTCATCTGGTATATGCAAATTTATTCCATATCCTTCTTAAGTGGATGGTTTAAAGGAGATAAACCCTCAAATCAGAGATAGAGCCTAACTCAAATAAACAAAAATGTGTCCGTCAGAGCGCAAATCATAATGCAATGCAAGTACATGTTGCATTCCCAGTAAGGCTGAAGGAGCAAAATTGAAGCAACTATACCATTTAAGCTTGGTTAGCTTTGATTGCGACTGTATTCGTCTGTGTTCATTGATAAGCTGTTCCTGTAAACATAATTTGTGTGGAAAGAAGTTTTGGGAATTCTGTCATGACAGCTCTCTGAGTTTTTGGCATGGTGATGGGTGTGACAATGTTGATATGTTTGGTCTTGGCGGAATAGATCTATACAGGTGGAGCTGGGGAAGGCGGAGGGTTTCTGAAAGCGCGCTAAACTGCTAAGGCAAATGCTAACCACGTATTTAAAGGTTGAGCAGCAAACTCATTGGCCACTGATACAGCAGGAACCAATCAAATGTGCCCTATAGAGAATGATGTGATTGCAAGCAGATCGATACCTATCGGCCTGCGCCATCTAGAGTTTCATGACAGAAATAAAATTTCAATGAGTCTCTTTTGAATGGAAGTGAAGGGGACAATTTTAAAAAAATGGAAGCTTTTATATATATACTGTATATATATATATATATATATATATATATATATATATATATATATATATATATATATATAAGCTATATAAAAGCTCTTATGTTGCGGACTACGAAGCCCCGCACTTGACATGCGGACAAAAATATATATATAATGGCAACTAATTAAGAATGTGTTCCCATTATTTGAACTAATTTGAAACAATTTGAGTAATTGCATGTAATGTTGCAAGTAATGTTGCATGTTGCAATGCATTTTGTGTACATCTTGTGGCTATATTGAAACAGTTTGTCTCATTCAACAAGTGCCTCACAGTAAGCCAGATTGTTTTTGAAGAAAAGGAGCAACAAGTTAAAATTAATTATTGTGGCAATAAACATTATGCCACAACAAGTGCTGTCAGCTTACTGAACTCGGAATATCCCTTTAATATCTTTTCAACTGATTTGGTTTAGTAACTTTCTACAGTGTTTACATTCGTCCTAGATTTGATCTTAATCAGGTTGCGCGTTAATACCTAAAGACAATTATTTGACTGTCTCACTTTCAGATTGTAAGTGTCATCAGTCCAGTTACACCACAACACCACAGCAGGATAAAGCCGGATATTATTTGTTCAGCAGATTTCATAGAAAGAGCCCTAAAATAAGCCTTTGATATTAAAGAGGATTTGCTGAGGCAATCAGCATGAGTTGGTTTTCTGTGAGCTGGGTTGACGACAGCCCGTCAGTGTGTTAAAAGATCCAGAAAATCTATATAGAGTACACTCACGTCCAGTTGTTTGTCAGTGCATCATTAATATTCATCATTCTGCAGAAGCTTGTGTATGAAGCAATCAAATTAAATAAAAGATTTCTAAGCCTTTGTTCTAGGGTTCATTAAAGTGTCCGTCTGACTGTGTAATTGCACATAAGCACTGAATAATAATGAGCACAATGTGCTTAATATGGGATTATTTTGTAGAAGGGTTTGTAATGACATATTGTTAGTGTTATGTCATCTATATAAATCCTGTAGGAATTTAGGAGTAATCTTTAAAACCCTTCCCCACCTAAAGAAATTGCCCTCCTACTGGAAATCACAGGTATGTTTTGGATGGAAGTTTTAAAATTAAGATGAAATAATTTACGATTAAAATGTAATTTGATGTTCTACAGGAATATTTCATGCTGTTGGAGATCATAATTGTCATATTATTTCTAAAAATTCTAGTTTTTGCCTTGCGTTATGTTGAAACTTGTTCCGTTGGATTCATATTCCTTCACTTCGGTAACATTTATAAACTCTACAAATGTTTCGTCAGGCAGGCCTATAGCTGATGCTTATGCTTCATGGTGATATCTAAATATATTGATTATTGAATTAGTATGAATGAATCAACCTGAGGTTACATTAACAAAAAGACAGATCAGGTAAAAATAGCTCCTTTAACAACTGTATGTCGTGACATTTTTTTTTTTTTTTTCAAGTCTGCATATAATGCTTTGTAAAGTCATTCTTAATACTATAGTGCATATAACACTTTAATTGTTTGTAATTATTTTTTTTATTAAAACACCATTTTAATTCTTAATGTTTAGGCTACAGTTTTTATTTTCTAATATGTGAAGCCTTTTGAGCTGCATTTGATGTTTGAAAGGTGCTATACAAATTCAATTCAATTATTATTATTTATTATAATTATCATTTTCTAGCATGTATCCATGAAGCTGCGGTTCTAATAGTTATAGGGCTAATTTTAATTACACTGAATCTTATAGCCTATAGCCTACAGGCTACCTTTAAAAGGGATGTCGTATCATTCCCTTTTTTTCTTCTTTTTTTTGGAGTAGACGCTGTAATGTACCGATTTCTGAAAGCATACAAATGCCGCATGATCACAGTGTAACAGAGTGTGTGATGAACTGTGCGTTTCTCGGTGTGATTTTTACTCACTCCGGTTTCCTGGCGAGTCCAACGGAACGGCAGAGTGTCGAAGGTGTCTGCGGAACCAGAGATTTGCAGGACGGGCTTCTCTTCTCGTCCTCCGCGGACTCGGGGCTGGACTGGGTCGCTTTGAGAGTCGGTGGGGATGTAGGTACCAGCTGCAGATGCTGCGGGTGATGGATGGGAGCTACCGGAGGATGCTGCGGTTGTTTGGACGGATGCTGCTGTTGCGGTTGCGGTTGCTGCGGTTGCTGCGGCTGGGCTTGACCGTGAGTCGCCGAATGCTGGTGCGGGTGAGCGGCCGGCTGAGGGCTGCTGGTCCGCGGGGGTGGGTGGTGGTGGTGGTGCGGATGATGGTGGTGGTATTGATGCGGATCTCTCAGCTGGCGATTCTCGCCGATCAGATCCTCAACCTTCCTCTCCAGCTCGTCGATCCGCTGCCGCTGGGTTTGAATTAGACTCTGCTGGTTTTGTACGATAGTGGTCAGTTCTTTGAGGTAAAGCACGGCTTTCATTGGGTTATCCAGCAAGCTCTCCATTACTGTAATCTCAGAGCTTCAAGCCTGCTAGATCAGGATGGAGCTGGGGTCTTCTGGATAAAGAGAATGTGCTGTGGAGAGAAGCTCTAAGGATGCGAGTGATGATGGTCCTGAAGCAGGAAAGATTGGGGGAGGAGCTGCGGAGGATGATGAGGTCAACGCTGTGGCCAATCACAGACGTGCGTGTTTGCATGCAATACACATTTTCCAATAGTGACATCAATTTAAAGGCCAACTAAGAAAGTTTTTCCACATTAAAAGTTTTATACCTGGGCAGTGCATTTTCATGTCCCCATTACCTTAATATACCCTTGTGAAATAGAAGTAACGCATTTAAAGACTACTTGGAAATAATATAAAATAATATACTTAAAGGGATAGTTCACCCAAAAAGTGAAACTTCTCTCACAATTTACTTACCCTCATGTTGATCCAACCCTGTATGAGTTTCATTCTTCTATTGAACACAAAATAAGATATTTTGAAGAATGTTGGTAACCAGACAGTTGACGGTAGCCACTGACTTCCATAGTATATTTTTTTTCCTACTATGGAAGTCAGTGGCTAACATCAACTGTCTGGTTACCAACATTTTTCAGAATATCTTCTTTTGTGTTTAACAGAAGAAAGAAACTCATGTTTGGAACAACTTGAGGGTGAGTAACTGATGACAACATTTTTAATTTTGGGTGAACTATCCCTTTAAGTGCGAACTGAATGTAATATTTTTAGACCTTTAGTTGCATATTATTTTCAATTTACTGAATCTTAAATTAATATTATATGCAATTAGCTGAAGAGTATTTTTTGATGGTCAAAGCATAGCATTTTATGGTAGGAAATATACTTAATGTAATTTCTATTGAAATTATTAAGATCTGTAATGATTAAGTTGCCCACCAGCAAAAAGAATACAACACTTTTTATAGAATATAGAGCATGGCAAAAATGACATGATACATTACATAATTTCCCTACAATTTGATTGGTTCTTCATATGCAAACCCTTCTGTTACTAGGTAGAAGCAAACTTAGATCTCAAATCATTCAAAAAAATGGGTTAGAAGTTCAGTTGATTACTCAATATGTCATGAGACTATAGACTGTTATATTTTTGATATTGTCTAGCCAGCACCTTAGAATTTTCCACCGGTTTCGACAAAATCTTCAGAGTACATTTTGTTCAAGTGGTAGAATTTTAGGCCAAAGTGAGAAGTAAGGTTAGATGTTAGAATTATGATTAGTTTGATACAGTTTACTCTTTTATTCATAAAAAAAATCCATCACATTACATATATTAAGAAGCACAATGAAAGGGAATGTTCACCCAAAAATGAAAATTCTGTAACCACTGTACAGAAGTTGTTCCAGAAAAAAAAAAATATTAATAAAAATATGGAAGTCAATGGGGCCCATAAACTGTTTTTTTACTGACATTCTTTAACATATCTTCTTTTGTGTTCTTCTTTTGTGTTTTTGGGTGACCTATCCCTTTAAGAGGCCTTTTAGATCATTAATATATGCAAGTTCATTTAAAATTAAAAAGTTTACAATTTACATGGTCTCGGACAGTTACAGTGACAACATAAAATTAATATGACATGACATTAGGAAACATCTCCCACTTATTAAAGCAACACCAAGTAACTTTTCCTCAGCGGTCGCCCTACAGGTTGGAAGCGGAATTGTCCATTACCGCTGTCGTAAATAATTTAGCCTACCGCAGCCTACTGTCGCACGCACATGCTCGCTGTTTATCCAGGACCGGCTTTGGAATCAACAATGGCCACAGACAAGGTAGAGTATGACGTATGCCGTATGCCGTAAAGCAGTCGAATTTTGTAGTTCTTTTTGTGCTCGGGTTACTACCCGAAAACCGAAGTTACATAGTGCAAGTAAAAGCAATACAGACCACGTCAGGCTATGGCAGACGTGTCATTTAACCTATTGTAAGTCGATGTACCATCACAAGGGTCTTGAAAGTATATTATGAAGGTTGAAAAACTACATAGTGTTACTTTAAGGATTTGGACTCAACTCGGACTGAACAAGGTGGCCTCGGACCCAACACAATGTTTATTTTCCCTCTCCTTGTTAACAGCTTAAATATATGAGTCAGGCAGTCTGCTCCATTTCTGTTTTCTTCCAGAGCTGAGTCACTGACACTACCAGCTGCTGTTTGATAATACAGTCCAGCATTATGAGCCATACAGTATATTATCAGTGTAAATGACATTATTACTGCAACATATGCCCTTATATCACGTGCTTCTGAACATCCTTCTGATTGGCCAATTGCAGCATTGAGTGGTTGATTATTTTTATAATGAGTCCTAGATATTTCACCAGTGCCATTCACTTAAAGGTGCTCTAAGCGATGTCACGCGTTTTTTAGGCCAAAACATTTTTTGTCACATAGAGCAAACATCTCCTCACTATCCGCTGGCTGCCTGTCCCCTGAACACACTGTAAAGAAACGTGATCTCTGTAGACAGCCCAGGCTCCACAAACAGCAACAAAAACAAACTGTGGCGACCCGCTCCACGAAACATAACAAACTGTTCCAGCCAATGACCGACAAGAAGGATTTGGGGGTGGGGTTTGGGGGGTTAGTGTGCGGATGAGGAGGAGGGAGGGTCTAGCTAGCCTCCGTTTTGTTTGACAATAGTTCGAACGTCAACAAGAAGTGAAGTCACCCAGGATCGCTTAGAGAACCTTTAATGTCTCTTGTATTACACATCTACTGTATTTTACATATACAGTCTTTTTCTTCTCATATTATCAACACAAGAAGAGTTACAGAAGAAGTTGGCTGTATTGCAATTTAAAAATGTTGCTACTCCCAACAGAAAGTATTAATTTTAATATTCTAATTTGATAGATGGCTTGCAGCTCAAGAGTCCCCAGTTAAATCAAAATGAAAACATCAGTCGGAAGAACATCACTTATATAAGAGAAACAAAAAGGTGGATGAGAGAGCTTAATATTGAGGAACACATTACATTTTAGCTAAATAGGTTAACTTTTCAATAGAAAGAGTAGCAAATTAATTATAATATATAAAAGTAATATTCTCACTGCTTTCATCTTGTCACCATTCAGGGTCATTCAAAAAAATCAAGGTGATTCATTATTATAGTTTTTATATTATGATAGCTATGTAATTGATAAGCACAGTAAAAAATTAGGTCAAGTGAATTTTTGAAGAAATTTGACATCAAAGTTTTTTTTCTAAAGGCATTACAGTGTTGCATTAGTTTAAAAATTGTTAAGACCCACCACCATTATTAAACTCTAACTTTAAACTTATATTTTGGGACACATAAATGTAGATATCAAAGGCTTTACTTTAGCAGCAAGATTGTATCATGCTGTCAGCATGTGAGGGATAGAAAACTAGTTGCTTATAGAAAAAGTCAAAAGAGCCCACGGCCAAGTCTCTATGATATTCTGGTCCATAGATATGATCTGGGTCTATAGTATATGACACTTTTTTTTTTTTAAATCATAAGATTGTTTATCTCAACAAGCTGCAGGATTTAAAGTGCTCAAGTGTGATAATGCTACAAGTTCAACATTGCGACTAAAAGTATATTAACAATGGTAATTACTAATGTTTGCCATATAAAGTAATAAATAACAAGTTTTGTGTTGCAGTGCATGAAACTCGAACTGACGATACTGAGCAAGTAAATTCAGTACAGAGTTATTTTATCAATAAATACAATTCAGTATAACATACAATATAATGTTATGGTCCAACAAATGAGGCACAACCTTTTAGATGTATTATTAAAAATAATATAAAATTAGATGTATATGTTTATTGCCTTTGTGAAAGAGTAACAATAATGGCTGACAATCTTATTTTAAAAAAGGTAAGATTCTTTTTATGACACCCAAGAGTTAAGATTATTAGGACCATTTCTGTGATGGACAAAGAAATACTTTAAGTAATTTTCATTTCCCCAAATTTTACAAAATGTTTGTCAAACTCATCCATTCAGCCCTGTTACCGGAGTTATTAAAAAAAGATTAGACACAGGCGTATGTTCTATATTTTATAAGAAATAGAAGTTAGTAGATGCAAACTAGCATTTGCTCCCGACCAGATGTCGCTTTAACCAAAAATGTTTCGTCATTGACAGAATTTTGTTTAGCTGTGATTGAAAAATCTGAAAGTCGTCCTTCATTTTGACAGAACACACTGAGGCTGATGTATTGTAATTTTTCACTGTAATTCTCACTCCTGTCCACTTGGAGGCGAGTGGGTACGGTGGCCGAGAGAGCTCAACGCGCTGCAACTGAAGAAAACACATGCAAATACAAAAAAACACATGCAAATAAAACGCATGCAAATACAAAAAAACGCGTGCAAATAAAAAAAAACACCCGCAAATTAAGAAAACATCTTCATCAGTTTCACAACACACGTGTGCTCCAAATACTCACAACACCACCAAATACAAACGCGCTGCAAAAGCTCACAACACAAATACAGAAAACGCGCTGCAAATAACACAAAGCACAACGGAAATGTTTCCAGAGGAACCAAATAAGTGACGAACCCGGCTGGGACGTGCTGGAATAGATATCCATAAATCTATGCGTCCATACATATAGTTTTATATCTATATGTATGGACACTCTTGAAAATGAGATGTTGCATCTCAAGGGGCTATCCATTAATAAAATTAAAATTGAAATTAATTTCCTCATCATTTTCACCTGGGATGTTCCCATGACAACGCAGCACAGCGTCCATCAGCTGAAGAGCTGTTCTTACCACAGAAATATAATGCTGTCAACATAACGGATGCAAATACATTTTTAGTTTTAGTTTACAAAAAAGCTTTTAAAATATGCGTTATATCTGTGTGTCTCAACTTTAAAATTTTGGACCCTACATTACCGAACATTTCTTACGAAACTTTTCTTTATGAAAATGTAATAACATGAAACAATTTGTACAGTGTAACTGATGTATAGATAAATATCTTTCCTTCATGATTTTCTTCTTTATCTTTTTTATTTATTTATTTTAGTTTCCAGCTCATTGTTCTTTTCTCATTTGTATTCTGATGACAATGAACACATTGTTAATACATTTTGTACATTGTAAGT